CGGGCGTGGCTGCTGCTACTCGCTACTCACAGCACTTGCCCCTACATCCTGTTAGAGGCTACACGGGGGACCTTTGTCTGTGTCTCTAGACTACTCACTAACCTCCCCGTGCTGTGTCTCCGTCAGGGCGACGTGGTGTGCCTGTCCCCGGCGCTGGCGCGCTCTCGCTGGGCAACCTGGGGCAGGTGTGCGTGTGCGCACGCGTCACCTCCGCCATCCACCTCATCGACCCCGGCACCCTGCAGGGTGCGGCAAAAGCACCGCGCCTCACCGTACTTCACCGTACCTCACCACGCCTCACCTCACCGCGTCTCACCGTGCTTCACCGCACTTCACCACACCTCACCGTGCCTCACCTCACCGCGCCTCACCGTACTTCACCACACCTCACCGTGCCTCACCTCACCGCGTCTCACCGTGCTTCACCGTACTTCGCCGTACCTCACCACACTTCACCGCACCTCACCGTGCCTCACCGTACTTCACCGTACTACATCACCGCACCTCACCGTGCCTCACCGTACCTCACCGCAATTCACTGTCCTTCACCGTGCTACTTCACCATACATCACCGTACTTCACCGATCTGCGTGCCCCCCCCCCCCCCAACGCGCCGCTCGCCGCGGAGACGGCGGTGCTGCTGTGTTGTTGTCGTCGTTGTTGTTGTCGTCGTTGTTGTTGTTGTTGTTGATGTGACGGTTATGATGAGCGTTGTCGTGGTGGTGATGGCGGTGGGGGGGGGGGGGGTAGTGGTTGTGGCGGTGAGCGGGGTGGGGTTGTGGTGGTGAGTGGGGGTTGTGGTGAGTGGTAGTGGCGGTGGTGAGTGGGGGTGGTGGTGGTAGTGGCGGAGGTGAGTGGGGGTGCGTGGGGGTGGTGGTGATGGTGAGTGCATGGGTAGTGGTGAGTGGGGCTGGTGGTGAGTGGGGCTGGTGGTGAGTGGGGCTGGTTGTTGTTGTTGGTAGTGGCGGAGGTGAGCGGGGCGGTGTTCTGGAGGGAGCCCTTTGGGTCGCTGTCCACGCCACGTTCCTTCACATCGTTCATCGGTGCTGGACGTGGAGACGCTGCGGGACCAGCGGCGCTCAGCCGCCTCCGGGGCTACATCCTCGCGGGTAACAACAACACCCACAACACAACAACCACCACAACAACAACAACAACAACCACCACAACCACCACAACCAGTACCACAACCACTACGACAACCACAACCACTACGACAACCACAACAACCACCACAAACCACTACCACCACTACCACACCACCACCATCACCACCATCACAACACCATCACCACAACCATCACAACAACCACCACCATCACAAACCACAACAACAACAACCACCACAACCATCACCACAACCACCACTACCACCACCACAACCACCACCACAACCACCACAACAACCACAACCACCACCACTACCACGTACAACCACCACTACAACCACCACCACAACCCACCACAACCATTACCACAACCCTACCACAACCATCAACACAACCATCAACACAATCACCATCACTACCACCACCACCACCACAACCACGACACATTTTGATTTAAAGCTTTCGTGACTGCAGGGATTCATGTTCTTGGTTCTTTCGGTAAAAGTCACGTAGAAGGGAATAATAAAATAATACAAATATAAAACAAACAAAAATCCTCACGACGTTTCGACTAGGCAACACAAGCAATCGTCATCAGGTGTGAAATCCACAGCAAGAAAATGTTTCAATTTTTTTATTGTTTTATATATTTTTATTGTATTATTTCCCTTCTACATGACTTTACCGTAAGAACCAAGATATATAACCACAACGATGTCGTGTGTTCAACATCGCCACTGGGGAGACAAAGGCGGCCGGGCGTGGGTGCTGGTAGCCACCCACCCCCTCGTGTGCCACAGCGCCGGTAGCCTTCATAGGTGCTGCTGCTACTCGCTACTAACAGCACTTGCCCCTGCAGGCCTGTTAGAGGCTACATGGGGGACCTTGTCTTGTGGCCTCTGTGTGAACATTTATTGAAGTGTAAATTATGATCGTGTGTGCGTGTGTGTGTGTGTATGCTCTTGTGTGTCTGTGTGTGTGCGCGCATGTTTGTGTGCGTGTGTTTGTGTGTGTGTGCGTGTGTGTGTGTGCGTATGTGTGTGTGTGCGCGTATGTGTGTTTGTTTGTGTGTGCGCGTGTATGTGCGCGTGTGTGTGGTGCGCGCGTGCGTGTGTGTGTGTGCGTGCGCGCGTATGCGCGTGTGTGTGTGTGTGTGCAGCGCGTGTGTGCGTGTGTGTGCGCGTGTGTGTGTGTGCGGTGCGCGCGTATGCGCGTGTGTGTGTGTGTGCGTGCGCGCATATGCGCTGCGTGTGTGTGTGTGCGTGTGTGGTTTGTGTGTGCGTGTGTATGTGCGTGTGTGCGTGTGTGCAGCATGTGCGGGCGGAGGTCTGGTTGCAGCGGTGGAACGAGGTTGGCACGGGGGAGCAGCTGCCACACACGCACACACCTGGGCCACCTGCTCAAGCCAGGAGAGCCGCGTGCTGGTGGTACTGACACACACACAGACACACACACACTCACACACACACAGACACACACACCTCACACAGACACACACTCACACAGACACAGACACACACATCACACAGACACACACAGACACACACAGACACACAGAGACACACACACAGACAGCACACACAGACACAGACACACACACAGACACACACACAGACACACACACCCACACAGACACACACACACAGACACACACACAGACACCCACACACACACACAGACACACAACACACACGCACACACACAGAGACACACAGCCACACACACAAGACACACACGCTCACACACACACTCTCACACACACTCACCGTGCGTGCGTGTGCGTGGCTACCGCACCTCCCAGGCTGGACTTGTCGGTGCGCCAACTTGGCGACGTGGAGGGGCGTCGGCGTCGTCGTCGCCACCGTCCGTGGTGCTTGTGCGCAAGGCCTACGAGCGCTCGCGACGGGCACGGCGGCGAAACTGGACCCTGGCCGAACTGCCCAGGGAGCGCCAGGGCAACCACGACGTCGCCTCGGACGACGAAAGGTGACGGGGGGCCGGGAGGTTGGGTGGGGGGCTGGGGGCGGGGGCGGGGGTGGGGGTGTCTCTCACGTGGGTGAGCGGGTGTGGGTGAGTGAGTGGTGGGTGAGTGTGTGGGTGAGTGTGTGGTGAGTGTGTGTGTGAGTGAGTGAGTGTGTCCGTGTGTGTGAGAGTGCGGGGTGAGTGTGGGTGAGCGTGAGTGAGCGTGGGTGAGTGTGTGGGTGAGTGTGTGGGTGAGTGTGTGTGAGTGAGTGTGTGAAGAGTGTGTGAGAGTGTGTGTGAGTGCGTGTGAGTGCGTGTGAGCGTGTGTGAGCGTGGGTGAGTGTGGGGTGAGTGGGTGTGGGTGAGTGTGGGTCAGTGTGGGTGAGTGTGGGTGAGTGAGTGTGAGTGTGTGTGAGTGAGGTGTGGGTGAGTGTGTGGGGAGTGTGTGTGAGTGAGTGTATGAGAGTGTGTGTGAGCGCGTGTGAAGCGTGTGTGAGCGTGTGTGAGCGTGTGAGTGTGGGTGAGTGTGAGTGTGTGTGAGTGTCCGTGTGTGTGAGTGCTCGTGTGTGTGAGTGGGGTGTCCGTGTGTGTGGAGTGTGTGTGGTGTGAGTGTCCCGTGTGTGTGAGGTGTGTGTCCGTGTGTGTGAGTGAGTGAGTGCGTGAGAGTGAGTGTGTGAGTGTGTGTGTGAGTCTGTGAGTGTGTGAGTGTGGGCGTGTGAGTGCGTGTGAGTGCGTGTGGTGTGAGTGCGTGTGAGTGCATATGTGTGGTGAGTGCGTATTGTGTGAGTGCGTGGTGTGCGATGCCCGTGCGTGTGGTGTGGAAGTGTGTGTGAGTGCGTGCGTGTGCGTGGCGTGCGTGCGTGTGCGTGCGTGGTTGAGTGTGGCCGGGCATGGTGCTGACCACCTACCCACCCCCTCGTGTGCCGTGCCGGCCTTCACCAGTGTCGCTACTCGCAGCACTTGCCCCGTCAGTCCGTCGCAGGCTACGCGGGTGACCTTTGTCTTTGTGTGAGCAGGCAGTACGAGGACTTCCTGGAGTGACTTGGAGGAAGATGAGGCTGTGAGGAAAAACGTGAACATCTACCGTGGTGACTCACTCGCTCGCACACGCGTTGTACACACACACACACACGTGTACACACACGTTACACACACACTGTACACACACGTGTACACACACACGTGTAAACACACACGTACACACACACGTGTACACACACACACGTGTACACACACACATGAGGCTGTGAGAAAAACGTGAACATCTACCGTGATGACTCGCTCGCACAGCGTGTACACACACCACACGGTGTACACACACACACGTGTGTACACACACACACGTGTACACCACACGTTACACACCACGTTTACACACACGTACCGTGTACACACACATACACACGTGTACACACACATACACACGTGTACACACACCACACGCGTGTACACACCGTGTACACACACGTGTACACACACACGTGTACACACACACACGTGTACACACACACACGTGTACACACACACGTGTACACACACACACACACGTGTACACACACACACGTGTACACACACACACGTGTACACACACGCACACGTGTACACACACACACACGTGTACACACACACACGTGTACACACACACACACGTGTACACACGCACACACATGCATGTACACACACACACGTGTACACACACACACGTGTACACACACACGTGTACACACACACACACGTGTACACACACACACGTGTACACACACACACGTGTACACTCGCACACACGTGTACACACACACACACACGTGTACACACACACACGTGTACACTCGCACACACGTGTACACACGCACACGCGTGTACACACACACACGCGTGTACACGCACACACGTGTACACACACGTGTACACCACACACACGTGTACACACACGCACACACACTCACGCACTTACACTCACGCACGTACACACTCACGCACACACTCACGACCACACACGCACGCACACTCACGCACAGCACACACTCACTCACGCACTCACACTCGTACACACACTCGTACACACACTCACATACACACACTCACACACACTCACTCACACAAACGCACGCGACCACCTTTGTCTCCCCGCCCCCCCCCCTCACCGACCACTCGCCCCCCTCTCTGCGCACGTGCAGACCGAGCCACGTGGAGACACCAGCAGGAGGAGGAGGAGGTGGAGGAGGTGGAGGTGGTGGAGGTGGGGACTATGAGGAGGAGGATGACGACGACGCTCCGCGGATCGGCCTGGAGGAGATGATGGACGACCTGAAGCTCACGGGACGCGCCGGGAGGGCCCCGAATCGGACATGGTGTCTGAGTGACGCAGAGGAGACGCAACACTCAGACACTCACATTAGTCACTCACTTAGACACTCACTCACTCAGTTAGACACTCACTCACTCACTTAGACACTCACTTAGACATTCACTCAGACACTCACTTAGACAGTCAGACACTCACATCACACACTTACTTAGACACTCACTCAGACACTCGCTCACTCAGACACTCACTCACTCAGACACTGAGACACTCACCCACACACTCACTCACTCACACACTCACTCACTCAGACACTCAACCAGACACTCACTCAGACGGTCACTCACTCACTCACTCAGTCACTTAGACACTCACTCACTCAGACACTCACTCAGACACTCAGACACTCACTCACTCACTTAGACACTCACTTAGACACTCACTCAGACACTCACTCACTTAGACCTCACTTAGACACACACTCAGACACTCACTCTGATATTCACTTAGACACTCACACACTCAGTCAGACACTCACTCAGACACTCAGATACTCACACACTCACTCACTCAGACACTCAAGACACCCACTCAGACACTCACTCAGACATCATACACTCACTCAGACCTCACTCACTTAGACACTCACTCACACACTCACTTACTTAGACACTCACCAGACACTCATTCAGACACTCATTCACTCAGACACTCACACACTCACTCAGACACTCACTCAGACACTCACTCACACACTCACTCACTCAGAACACTCACTCAAGACCTCAGACACTCACTCAAGACACTCAGACACTCACATCAGACACTCAGACATTCACTCAGACACTCACTCACTTAGACACTCACTCAGACACTTGCACACTCACACACACAATCACTCATACACTCACTCACCTCAGACACTCACTCAGACGCTCACTCACACGCTCACTCACACACTCACTCACTCAGACACTCACTCAAGACACTCAGACACTCACTCAAGACACTCAGGACACTCACTCAGACACTCACTCACACACACTCTCACACACTCACACACTCACAACAACAACAACAACTGCCATTCGCCACTAAGTGCGGTGACGTCACCACGACGCTTGTGCCAGGCCATGTGCACCTTGAGGCCACGTGAAGTGTCGAACGCCCGCTGGCAGGAGGGTCACGGGGCAGACCCAGCAGGTGACACGGGTCGACTGACTGAGATGACCGAGATGACTGGCTGATGCACCACCTGTGCCCCCTACTGTGCCAACTTGCTGTGCTTTAGCTACCTGGCGCTCCGCTCGTTGTTGTGAGCGTCGCTCCTCCGCCCTCCGTTGTTGCTGGAGGGCGACTGCCTCCAACTGCCCAGTAGCGTCCTTCACGAGCCTCCTCCACAGAGGCCGATCTTGACACCGCTGGTACCGGTCATCGGCAAGTCCACTCAGCTCCACGTCCTCCTGTACCACATCACTCCATCTCTTCTCGAGCCTGTGCCCGGCCGGGTACGGGTAGCCGGGTACCCGGTTGCGACCTCTGGTGTAAACAGACACCCAAGACACGGACATACTGCGGGGTCACAGGCAGACGGGAGACGCACGGGACAAACACGCGTAGACACACGGGACAGAGACACACTTGTAGACACACGGGACAGAGACACACTCGTAGACACACGGGACAGAGACACACTTGTAGACACACGGGACAGAGACACACTCGTAGACACACGGACAGAGACACACTCGTAGACACACGGGACAGACACGCGTAGACAAACGGGACAGAGACACACTTGTAGACACACGGGACAGAGACACACTCGTAGACACACGGGCGCTGCTCAGAGACGCGCTTGGGGCACGACACACACAACTGGAGTGGCTCTTTGGCGTTGCCACTTGCGTGCGCGCGCGAGGAATCATTTCAGCGCTGCAATAAAAGCACGGGAGATTGCACGGGTGTCTGTGTGTGTTTGTGTGTGTGTATGTCTGGCTGTCTGTGTGTGTATGTCTGGCTGTCTGTGTGTGTGTGTCTGTATGTCTGTGTGTGGCTGTCTGTGTGCGTATGTCTGTGTCTGTCTGGCTGTGTCTGGCACAGTAGGGAGCAGAGGTGGTGCATCTGCCAGTCAGCCAACCCGTGGCAACCTGCTGGGTCTGTCACGTGACCTCCTGCACCTAGCCTGGCACAGTAGGGGGTACAGCTGGTGGTGCATCTACCGGTCATCTCAGCCAACCCATGGCACCTGCTGGGTCTGTCCCGTGACCACCTGCACCTAGCCTGGCACAGTAGGGGGTACAGCTGGTGGCGCATCTACCGGTCATCTCACCCAACCCGTGGCACCTGCTGGGTCTGTCCCGTGACCTGCACCTAGCCTGGCACAGTAGGGGGGGTACAGCTGGTGGTGCATCTACCAGTCATCTCAGTCGGCCAACCCATGGCACTTGCTGGGTCTGTCACGTGACCTCCTCCTGCACCTAGCCTGGCGCAGTAGGGGGGTACAGCTGGTGGTGCATCTACCGGTCATCTCAGCCAACCCACGGCACCTGCTGGGTCTGTCCCATGACATCCTGCACCTCGCCTGGCACAGTAGGTGGGTACAGCTGGTGGCATATACCGGTCATCTCAGTCGGCCAACCCATGGCACCTGCTGGGTCTGTCCCGTGACCTCCTCCTGCACCTAGCCTGGCACAGGGGGGTCACAGCTGGTGGTGCATCTGCCAGTCGGATCCATTCACGTCTGGTCACGAGTGCTGGGCTCGGTCACGTGGTCATCATCAACGTCGTCTTCGTCAAAATGGGACCTTTTAAGCCACCATCAAAGTGTGAAAACTTGATTCTCAGTGTTTTTACCTCTTTCCCGGCAGTAATGAAACAGGAGGCGTCTTAAGATGTTCAAACACCAAATAGAAACCCTTTGCAGGGAATCAAGTGACTGGATTAACCACAACAACGACCGATATTCGCCACTAAGTGGTGGTGATGTCACCACGACGCTTGTGCCAGGCCATGTGTACCTTGAGGCCACACACATACGTACTTGTGAACATGCAAACACATTCCTCCTGCGGAGGGAGCTGTAGGAACGTCGGGTTGCTCGGTCAATGGCCTGCAGGGTCAACGGCGGCGTGGTGTATTCCGCAAATATTCCCGACTGTGAGGGCGGGCACAAGCCGGCGTGAGTAGGTGAAACGTTGAGTTTTATAAGGGCACCACGGGGTGACCAGCCCCTCTCCACCCAGCCCCACCCAGCCCCACCCTCCCCACCCAGCCCCACCCTCACCACCCAGCCCCACCCTCCCCACCCAGCCCCACCCCTCCCACCCCCAACCCAGCCCCACCCTCTCCACCCAGCCCCTCCCACCCCTCCCCACCCAGCCCCTCCCCACCCTCCCCTCTCCACCCAGCCCCTCCCCACCCACCCCTCCCCACCCTCCCCTCTCCACCCAGCCCCTCCCCACCCAGCCCTACCCAGCCCCTCCCCACCCAGTCCCTCCCTGCACAACGGACGGACACAATAATCCCCTGTGGGCTGGTGTAACCAGGAGGTTCCTACCAGTATAACACTAATTGTTATAGCAACACTCCTACAACATCAGAGTGCAGCGCCACATTAACTACGCACCACAATGACAATAGTTTAAAGCGATTTGAAGCAAGTTTTATTTTGGGGGGCGGGGGGCAGTTTTTGTACCAGTTGAAAGGGTAAAAACCTATTACTATATTGTGCCACTGGTAAAGGAGGTCTCATAGTGTAAATGCTTACCCCGAGCTCTCAATACTCTGATAGTGCGCTGTGTTTGAGTTGTGCGCCTTTTGGCGTCATCTGGTCCAACACCATGTGAGACTAGGCTCTAAGGAAAGCTGTCTCGGGTGTGGACCAATCAACTTCAAGGACCATGTGAGACTGGGCTCTAAGGAAAGCTGTCTCGGGTGTGGACCAATCAACTTCAAGGACCATGTGAGACTAGGCTCTAAGGAAAGCTGTCTCGGGTGTGGACCAATCAACTTCAAGGACCATGTGAGACTAGGCTCTAAGGAAAGCTGTCTCGGGTGTGGACCAATCAACTTCAAGGACCATGTAAGACTGGGCTCTAAGGAGAGCTGTCTCGGTGTGGACCAATCAACTTCAAGGACCATGTGAGACTGGGCTCTAAGGAAAGCTGTCTCGGGTGTGGACCAATCAACTTCAAGGACCATGTGAGACTAGGCTCTAAGGAAAGCTGTCCTCGGGTGTGGACCAATCAACTTCAAGGACCATGTGAGACTAGGCTCTAAGGAAAGCTGTCTCGGGTGTGGACCAATCAACTTCAAGGACCATGTAAGACTGGGCTCTAAGGAAAGCTGTCTCGGGTGTGGACCAATCAACTTCAAGGACCATGTGAGACTGGGCTCTAAGAAAAGCTGTCTCGGGTGTGGACCAATCAACTTCAAGGACAGTGCACATCATTATCATCATCAGAGTTGTTTCTTGTTTGCATGTTGACTGCTTGTGTTGCGCTTATTGCAAACATGATGCCTTGTATAAAGGTGTCCGTTTTTGTACCAGTTGAAAGGGTAAAAACCTATTACTATATTCACCAATTCTCTCGCCAGCTGATAATCGACGATTCGTCGGATCGGAGTTGTTTGTAATCGGAATCGAACGGAATCTAATCGGGTGACTAGAATCGATTCCGCGCGTACGGAACGATTTCTCGCCGGTGGAATCGATTCCCTCACCCCCCCCCCCCCGCACCCAGCCCCCATCAGATCGTCAAGATAGCCGCGTCCCGTTCTGCTGCCGTGCCGGGTAACCTGGGGGGGGGGGGGAGGGGGTAACGGGGGGGGATGTGTGGGTGATGGTAACGTGGGAGGGTACGTGGGGAGGGTAACCGGGGGGAGGGAAACGGGGGGAGGGAAACGGGGGGGGGTAACGGGGGGGGTAACGGGGGGGGGTAACGGGGGGGGGATGTGTGGGTGATGGGGATGGTAACGGGGGGGATGTGTGGGTGATGGGGAGGGTAACGGGGGAGGGTAACGGGAGGATGTGTGGGTGATGGGAAGGTAACGGGGGGGAGGGTAACGGGGAGGATGTGAGGGTAACGGGGAGGATAACGGGGGGGATGTGTGGGTGATGGGGAGGGTAACGGGGGGGATGCGAGGGTAACGGAGAGGGTAACGGGGGTGATGGGGAGGGTAACGGGGGGGATGTGAGGGTAACGTGGGGAGGGTAACGTGGGGGATGTGAGGGTGATGGGGGAGGGTAACGGGGGGGATGCGAGGGTAACGGAGAGGGTAACGGGGGTGATGGGGAGGGTAACGGGGGGATGTGAGGGTGATGGGGAGGGTAACGGGGTGATGGGGAGGGTAACGGGGGGGATGTGATGGTAACTGGGGGATGTGAGGGTGATGGGGAGAGTAACGGGGGGGATGAGAGGGTAACGGGGGGGATGTGATGGTAACTGGGGGATGTGAGGGTGATGGGGAGAGTAACGGGGGGATTAGAGGGTAACGTGGAGAGGGTAACGGGGAGGATGTGAGGGTGACGTGGAGAGTGTGTGAGTGTGGGTGTGTGTGTGAGCGAGTGTCTGTGTGTGAATGAGTGTGTGTGTGGATGAGTGTGGGTGAGTGTAGGTGTGTGTGTAGGTGTGTGTAGGTGTGTGTGTGAGTGAGGGAGGGTGGCGTTTGTGCACAGACTGCCCTACATGACATCATAACAACAGTCTGGACCACTGGACGGGTTCCGCAGGACTGGAAGGATGCCCTGGTGGTCCCCCTCTTTAAGGGGGACCATACCGACTGTAACAACTACAGGGGCATCTCACTCCTCAGTGTGCCGGGAAAGGTCCTGGCAAGGATTATTCAACATCGCCTTGCTAGGCACGCTGAGGAGAGGCTTGCGGAGCCCCATTGCGGTTTCAGGAAAGGGCGGTCCTGCACAGATGCCATATTTTGTGTCCGTCTGCTACAGCAGAGGTGTAGGGAATTCCAACAAGACCTACATCTCTGCTTTATTGACCTGGTCAAGGCCTATGATACCATCAGTAGGCCTGGGCTCTGGGTTGTTCTTCGTGCTTTTGGAGTTTCTGACCCTCTGCTTCATGATCATTAAGGACCTTCATGATGGTGAGCGGGCCCGGGTAAAACTACGTGGCCGGGAGTCAGAGCCATTCGCTGTACACCTTGGGGTGCGACAGGGATGTCCTCTGGCTCCCACATTATTTAACATCTATTTGACCACTTAGTTCGTGAAGGGTGTAGGTGTGCGTGTGTGAGTGTGTGTGAGTGTGTGTGTGAGTGTGTGTCTGGATGAGTGTGTGAGTGTGTGGATGAGTGTGTGAGTGTGTAGGTGACCACGCCATGCTGTCCCTACCACTGGAGTCGGCTGCCCGCCTGCTCTCACTGCTGCTCCACCTGTGATTGAGTGTGTGGGTGTGTGTGTGTGAGTGTGTGTCGGTGAGTGTGTGTGTAGGGGTGTGTGTAGATGTGAGTGTGTAGGTGTGAGTGTGTGTACGTGTGTGTGTGTGTGTGAGTGTGTGTGAGTGTGTGTGGATGAGTGTGTGTGTGTGTGTCTGGGTGTGTGTGTGAGTGAGTGTATGTAGGTGTGAGTGTGTGTGTGAGTGAGTGTGTAGGTGTGTGTGTGTGTGAGTGTGTGAGTGTCTGGATGAGTGTGTGAGTGAGTGGGGTGTGTGAGTGTGTGGATGAGTGAGTGAGTGTGTGAGTGTGTCTGGATGAGTGTGTGTGTGTGTGAGTGTGTGAGTGTCTGGATGAGTGTGTGAGTGAGTGTATGTAGGTGTGTGTGTGAGTGTGTAGGTGACCACGCCATGCTGTCGCTACCACTGGAGTCAGCCGCCCGCCTGCTCTCCCTGTTGCTCTCCCTGCTGCTCCACCTGTGATTGAGTGTGTGAGTGAGTGAGTGTCTGGATGAGTGTGTGAGTGTGAAGGTGTGTGTGGATGAGTGTATGAGTGTGTGAGTGTGTGTGTGAGTGTGTGTGGATGAGTGTGTGTGTGAGTGTGTGGATGAGTGTCTGGATGAGTGTCTGGATGAGTGTGTGTGTGTCTGGATGTGTGTGTGTGAGTGAGTGTGTGGATGAGTGAGTGGGTGTGTGAGTGTGTCTGGATGAGTGTGTGAGTGAGTGAGTGTCTGGATGAGTGTGTGAGTGTGAAGGTGTGTGTGGATGAGTGTATGAGTGTGTGAGTGTGTGTGAGTGTGTGTGGATGAGTGTCTGGATGAGTGTCTGGATGAGTGTGTGTGTGTCTGGATGTGTGTGTGAGTGAGTGTGTGGATGAGTGAGTGGGTGTGTGAGTGTGTCTGGATGAGTGTGTGAGTGAGTGTCTGGATGTGTGTGTCCCCAAGGTGACCACGCCATGCTGTCCCTACCACTGGAGTCAGCTGCCCGCCTGCTCTCCCTGCTGCTCTCCCTGCTGCTCCACCTGCTGCTGCGACCTGAGTCGCTGCTGCTTCTGGCATCCGTGGCCACGGTGTGGGCGGCCGCCAGGCACGGCCCGAGGGTGACTCGCTCACCCAGTCACTCACCAACTCACTCAGTCACTCACTCGCTCGCCCGGTCACTCACAGACTCACGCAGTCGCTCACTCGCCCGTCCAGTCGCTCACCAACTCACGCAGTCGCCCACTCGCTCGCCCGGTCACTCACCAACTCACTCAGTCGCTCACTCGCTCGCCCACTCACCAACTCACGCAGTCGCTCACTCGCCCGTCCAGTCACTCACCGACTCACTCAGTCGCTCACTCGCTCGCCCACTCACCGACTCACGCAGTCGCTCACTCGCCTGTCCAGTCACTCACCGACTCACTCAGTCGCTCACTCGCTCGCCCACTCACCGACTCACGCAGTCGCTCACTCGCCCGTCCAGTCGCTCACCAACTCACGCAGTCGCTCACTCGCTCGCCCGGTCACTCACCAACTCACTCCGTCGCTCACTCACCCGTCACTCACCAACTCACTCAGTCGCTCACTCGCCCAGTCGCTCACTCAGTCGCTCACTCCCCAGTCCTCACAGACTCACGCAGTCGCTCACTCGCCCAGTCGCTCGCTCAATCGCTCGCTCAGTCGCTCACTGACTCACGCAGTCGCTCACTCGCCCAGTCACTTCCCAGTCGCTCGCTCAGTCGCTCACTGACTCACGCAGTCGCTCACATCGCCTAGTCGCTCACTCAATCGCTCGCTCGTCGCTCACGATCACTCACGCAGTCGCTCACCAACTCTATCACTCACCCAGTCACTCCACGACTCACTCACTCACCCAGTCATCACCCCAGTCACTCACCGCCTCACTCAGTTACTCACCCAGTCCACTCGCCACAGTCACTCACTCACCCAGTCATCACTCCGTCACTCACCGACTCACCCAGTCTCTCACCGTCTCTATCATTCACCCTCTCACTTAACGACTCACTCACTCACTCAGGCACTCACCCAGTCACTCACCGACTCACCCAGTCACTCACTCAGTCGCTCGCTCAGTCACTTACCGACTCATGCAGTCGCTCGCTTGCCCAGTCCGCTTGCTCGCGTCAGGTCACTCAACGACTCACTCAGACACTCACCCAGTCACTCACCGACTCACCCAGTTACTCACTCAGTTACTCACCCAGTCACTCAACGACTCACCCAGTTACTCACTCAGTTACTCACCCAGTCACTCAACGACTCACTCAGTTACTCACTCAGTTACTCACCCAGTCACTCAACGACTCACCCAGTTACTCACTCAGTTACTCACCCAGTCACTCAACGACTCACCCAGTTACTCACTCAGTTACTCACCCAGTCACTCAACGACTCACCCAGTTACTCACTCAGTTACTCACCCAGTCACTCAACGACTCACCCAGTTACTCACTCAGTTACTCACCCAGTCACTCAACGACTCACTCAGTTACTCACTCAGTTACTCACCGAGTCACTCACCCAATCATCACTCCGTCACTCCGCGCTTGCTCACTCACCCCAGTCCACTCATTCTCCCCGTAGCTCACTCAGCCAGTCACTCACCGACTCACGCAGTCACTCACGCAGTCACTCACCCAGTCACTCACCCAGTCACTCACCCAGTCACTCGCCCAGTCACTCATTCTCCCAGTAGCTCACTCAGCCAGTCACTCGCCAACTCACGCATCACTCACCCAGCACTCACCCAGTCACTCACCAACTCACCCAGTCACTCACCCAGTCACTCACTGACTCACGCAGTCACTCACCCAGTCACTCATTCTCCCAGTAGCTCACTCAGCCAGTCACTCACCCAGTCACTCCCTGACTCACTTAGTCACTTACCCAGTCACTCATTCTCCCAGTAGCTCACTCAGCCAGTCACTCGCCAACTCACACAGTCACTCACCCAGCCACTCACCCAGTCACTCACCCAGTCACTCACCAACTCACCCAGTCACTCACCCAGTCACTCACTGACTCACGCAGTCACTCACCCAGTCACTCATTCTCCCAGTAGCTCACTCAGCCAGTCACTCACCCAGTCACTCCCTGACTCACTCAGTCACTTACCCAGTCACTCATTCTCCCAGTAGCTCACTCAGCCAGTCACTCCCTGACTCACTCAGGCACTACCTGACTCACTCCGCCGCTCGCTGCCCGACTCACGTGAATGCCACATGGGTTGGGGCCTGCCGGAGCGTGCGTCCAGCGGGGAGAGGCTCACTCTGTTGCGGAGCGAGTCGCCGGGTGGTGAGATGAAGAGACGCGGGAGAATGTTGCATGGGAGATAGGGGCGGAAGAAGATGTCTCCCCGTGTCTCACTCCCCACTCTCCCCGTGTCTCACTCCCCCCGTGTCTCACTCCCCGTGTCTCACTCCCCGTGTCTCACTCCCCACTCTCCCCGTGTCTCACTCCCCGTGTCTCACTCCCCACTCTCCCCGTGTCTCACTCCCCCCGTGTCTCACTCCCCGTGTCTCACTCCCCGTGTCTCACTCCCCACTCTCCCCGTGTCTCACTCCCCCCGTGTCTCACTCCCCGTGTCTCACTCCCCACTCTCCCCGTGTCTCACTCCCCACTCTCTGTGTCTCTCCCCCCACTCTCTCCCCCCACTCTCCCCCACTCTCCCCCCACTCTCCCCGTGTCTCACTCCCCACTCTCTGTGTCTCTCCCCCCACTCTCTCCCCCCACTCTCCCCCCACTCTCCCCGTGTCTCACTCCCCGTGTCTCACTCCCCGTGTCTCTCCCCCCACTCTCCCCGTGTCTCACTCCCCGTGTCTCTCCCCCCACTCTCCCCCCACTCTCCCCCCACTCTCCCCGTGTCTCACTCCCCGTGTCTCTCCCCCCACTCTCCCCCCACTCTCCCCGTGTCTCACTCCCCGTGTCTCTCCCCCCACTCTCCCCCCACTCTCCCCGTGTCTCACTCCCCGTGTCTCTCTCCCCACTCCCCCCACTCACCCCCCACTCTCCCCCCACTCTCCCCGTGTCTCACTCCCCGTGTCTCTCCCCCCACTCTCCCCCCACTCTCCCCGTGTCTCATTCCCCGTGTCTCTCTCCCCACTCCCCCCACTCTCCCCCCACTCTCCCCGTGTCTCACTCCCGGTGTCTCACTCCCCGTGTCTCACTCCCCACTCTCCCCGTGTCTCACTCCCCCCGTGTCTCACTCCCGGTGTCTCACTCCCCCGTGTCTCACTCCCCACTCTCCCCGTGTCTCACTCCCCCCGTGTCTCACTCCCCGTGTCTCACTCCCCACTCTTCCCGTGTCTCACTCCCCACTCTCTGTGTCTCTCCCCCCACTCTCTCCCCCCACTCTCCCCCCACTCTCCCCCCACTCTCCCCGTGTCCTCACTCCCCACGTCTCTTGTCTCTCCCCCCACTCTCCCCCCACTCTCCCCCCACTCTCCCCGTGTCTCACTCCCCGTGTCTCTCCCCCCACTCTCCCCCCACTCTCCCCGTGTCTCACTCCCCGTGTCTCTCCCCCCACTCTCCCCGTGTCCTCACTCTCCCGTGTCTCTCCCCCCACTCTCCCCCCACTCTCCCCCCACTCCTCCCCCGTGTCTCACTCCCCGGGTCTCTCTCCCCACTCCCCCCACTCACCCCCCCACTCTCCCCCCCCCACTCTCCCCGTGCTCACTCCCCGTGTCCTCTCCCCCCACTCTCCCCCACTCTCCCCGTGGCTCACTCCCCCCCCGTGTCTCACTCCCGGTGTCGCACTCCCCGTGTCTCACTCCCCACTCTCCCCGTGTCTCACTCCCCCCGTGTCTCACTCCCAGTGTCTCACTCCCCGTGTCTCACTCCCCACTCTCCCCGTGTCTCACTCCCCCCGTGTCTCACTCCCCGTGTCTCACTCCCCACTCTTCCCGTGTCCTCACTCCCCCCGTGTCTCACTCCCCGTGTCCTCACTCCCCACTCTCCCCGTGTCTCCTCCCCACTCTCTGTGTCTCTCCCCCCCACTCTCTCCCCCCACTCTCCCCCCACTCTCCCCCCACTCTCCCCTGGTCTCACTCCCCACTCTCTGTGTCTCTCCCCCCACCTCTCTCCCCCCACTCTCTCCCCCCACTCTCCCCCCACTCTCCCCGTGTCTCACTCCCCGTGTCTCTCCCCCCACTCTCCCCGTGTCTCACTCCCCGTGTCTCTCCCCCCACTCTCCCCCCACTCTCCCCCCACTCTCCCCCGTGTCTCACTCCCCGTGTCTCTCCCCCCACTCTCCCCCCACTCTCCCCGTGTCTCACTCCCCGTGTCTCTCCCCCCACTCTCCCCCCACTCTCCCCGTGTCTCACTCCCGTGTCTCTCTCCCCACTCCCCCCACTCACCCCCACTCTCCCCCCACTCTCCCCGTGTCTCACTCCCCGTGTCTCTCCCCCCACTCTCCCCCCACTCTCCCCGTGTCTCATTCCCGTGTCTCTCTCCCCACTACCCCCCACTCTCCCCCCACTCCCCCCGTGTCCTCACTCCCGGTGTCTCACTCCCAGTGTCTCACTCCCCACTCTCCCAGTGTCTCACTCCCCCCGTGGTCTCACTCCCAGTGTCTCACTCCCAGTGTCTCACTCCTCACTCCCAGTGTCTCACTCCTCACTCCCAGTGTCTCACTCCCAGTGTCCTCACTCCCCGTGTCTCACTCCTCACTCCCCGTGTCTCACTCCCCGTGTCTCACTCCCCACTCCCAGTGTCTCACTCCTCACTCCCAGTGTCTCACTCCCAGTGTCTCACTCCTCACTCTCCCAGTGTCTCACTCCTCACTCTCTGTGTCTCTCCCCCCACTCTCTCCCCCCACTCTCCCCCCACTCTCCCCCCATCTCCCCGTGTCTCACTCCCCACTCTCTGTGTCTCTCCCCCCACCCTCCCCCCCCTCTCCCCCCACTCTCCCCGTGTCTCACTCCCCGTGTCTCTCCCCCCACTCTCCCCGTGTCTCACTCCCCGTGTCTCTCCCCCCACTCTCCCCCCAACTCTCCCCCCACTCTCCCCGTGTCTCACTCCCCGTGTCTCTCTCCCCACTCCCCCCACTCACCCCCCACTCTCCCCCCACTCTCCCCGTGTCTCACTCCCCGTGTCTCTCCCCCCACTCTCCCCCCACTCTCCCCGTGTCTCACTCCCCGTGTCTCTCCCCCCACTCTCCCCCCACTCTCCCCCCACTCTCCCCGTGTCTCACTCCCCGTGTCCTCTCCCCCCACTCTCCCCCCACTCTCCCCGTGTCTCACTCCCCGTGTCTCTCCCCCCACTCTCCCCGTGTCTCACTCCCCGTGTCTCTCTCCCCACTCCCCCACTCACCCCCCACTCTCCCCCCACTCTCCCGTGTCTCACTCCCCCCACTCTCCCCCCACTCTCCCCGTGTCTCATTCCCCGTGTCTCTCTCCCCACTCCCCCCACTCTCCTCCCCACTCTCCCCGTGTCTCACTCCCGGTGTCTCACTCCCCGTGTCTCACTCCCCACTCTCCCCGTGTCTCCCTCCCCCCGTGTCTCACTCCCGGTGTCTCACTCCCCGTGTCTCCCTCCCCTCTCTCCCCGTGTCTCACTCCCCCCGTGTCTCACTCCCCGTGTCTCACTCCCCACTCTTCCCGTGTCTCACTCCCCACTCTCTGTGTCTCTCCCCCCACTCTCTCCCCCCCCTCCCCCCCCCCCCTCCCCCCTCCCTCCCCGTGTCTCACTCCCCACTCTCTGTGTCTCTCCCCCCACTCTCCCCCCACTCTCCCCCCACTCTCCCCGTGTCTCACTCCCCGTGTCTCTCCCCCCACTCTCCCCCCACTCTCCCGTGTCTCACTCCCCGTGTCTCTCCCCCCACTCTCCCCGTGTCTCACTCCCCGTGTCTCTCCCCCCACTCTCCCCCCACTCTCCCCCCACCTCCCCCGTGTCTCACTCCCCGTGTCTCTCTCCCCACTCCCCCCACTCACCCCCCACTCTCCCCCCACTCTCCCCGTGTCTCACTCCCCGTGTCTCTCCCCCCACTCTCCCCGTGTCTCCCTCCCCGTGTCTCTCCCCCCACTCTCCCCCCACTCTCCCCGTGTCTCACTCCCCCCGTGTCTCACTCCCGGTGTCTCACTCCCCGTGTCTCACTCCCCACTCTCCCCGTGTCTCACTCCCCCCGTGTCTCACTCCCGGTGTCTCACTCCCCGTGTCTCACTCCCCACTCTCCCCGTGTCTCACTCCCCCCGTGTCTCACTCCCCGTGTCTCACTCCCCACTCTCTGTGTCTCTCCCCCCTCTCTCTCCCCCCACTCTCCCCCCACTCTCCCCCCACTCTCCCCGTGTCTCACTCCCCACTCTCTGTGTCTCTCCCCCCACTCTCTCCCCCCACTCTCTCCCCCCACTCTCCCCCCACTCTCCCCGTGTCTCACTCCCCGTGTCTCTCCCCCACTCTCCCCGTGTCTCACTCCCCGTGTCTCTCCCCCCACTCTCCCCCCACTCTCCCCCCACTCTCCCCGTGTCTCACTCCCCGTGTCTCTCCCCCCACTCTCCCCCCCACTCTCCCCGTGTCTCACTCCCCGTGTCTCTCTCCCCACTCCCCCCACTCACCCCCCACTCTCCCCCCACTCTCCCCGTGTCTCACTCCCCGTGTCTCTCTCCCCACTCCCCCCACTCACCCCCCACTCTCCCCCCACTCTCCCCCCACTCTCCCCGTGTCTCACTCCCCGTGTCTCTCTCCCCACTCCCCCCACTCACCCCCCACTCTCCCCCCACTCTCCCCCCACTCTCCCCGCGTCTCTGTCCCCACTCTCCCCCCACTCCCCCATTCCCCCCACTCACCCCCCACTCTCTCCCCCCACTCTCCCCACTCTCCCCGTGTCCCACTCCCCCCACTCTCCCCCCACTCTCCCCCCACTCTCTCCCACTTCCCCCACTCCCCCCAATCTCCCCCCACTCTCTGCACACTCCCCGTGTCCCACTCCCCCCACTCTCCCCCCACTCCCCCCACTCTCTCCCCACTCTCCCACTCCCCCCACTCTCCCCGTGTCTCTCCCCCCCCCACACCCCCCCCACTCTCCCCACTTCCCACCCCTCAGCTGCGCTCCCTTCCAACCTCCGCCTGCCGCTCCCTCCGCCGCTTCGCCTCCTCCCGCGGCCCCTCCCCCCCGTCCCCCCCCGCCGAGCCGCCCCCCCCCACCGGGGGGGGGCCCCCGTGCCCCCCCCCAGCGGCGGTGCCGTGGGGGGGGGCCGGCGCCGCTCCCCGCCCCCCCCGCGTCACGTGGCAGTACCGCTCCCGCGGGGTCGCGGTGTTCGCGCTGCAGGGACGCCGGGAACACATGGAGGACCGCTTCACCGTGGCTCACGGCGGCGGCAGTGACGGCGCTGCCGGTGACGCCGGTGCTGGTGACGCTGCCCCCCGTTGCGGCCGCCGTCACCGGCACGCTCTCTACGGGGTGTTCGACGGGCACGGCGGGGAGGTGCGTGCACACGCACCTCCCCCAACGCCCCCCAACGTCGGATATTGATGCGGGGAGAAAGATCAATGTCAGTATCGCTGGCGTCGTCAATATCGCCGGTGTAATCAATAACACCATCATCATCAATATCACCACCATTATCAATATCACCATCATCAATATCACCACCATCATCATCAATATCACCACCATCAATACCACCATCATCTATGATGCAGTGTTGAGTCTACGGTGCAGTGTTGAGTCTACGGTGCAGTGTTGAGTCTATGGGCAGTGTTGAGTCTACGGTGCAGTGTTGAGTCTACGGTGCAGTGTTGAGTCTATGGGCAGTGTTGAGTCTATGGGCAGTGTTGAGTCTATGGGCAGTGTTGAGTCTATGGGCAGTGTTGAGTCTATGGGCAGTGTTGAGTCTACGGTGCAGTGTTGAGTCTACGGTGCAGTGTTGAGTCTATGGGCAGTGTTGAGTCTATGGGCAGTGTTGAGTCTACGGTGCAGTGTTGAGTCTATGGGCAGTGTTGAGTCTATGGGCAGTGTTGAGTCTATGGGCAGTGTTGAGTCTATGGGCAGTGTTGAGTCTATGGTGCAGTGTTGAGTCTATGGGCAGTGTTGAGTCTATGGGCAGTGTTGAGTCTATGGGCAGTGTTGAGTCTATGGGCAGTGTTGAGTCTACGGTGCAGTGTTGAGTCTACGGTGCAGTGTTGAGTCTATGGGCAGTGTTGAGTCTATGGGCAGTGTTGAGTCTACGGTGCAGTGTTGAGTCTATGGGCAGTGTTGAGTCTATGGGCAGTGTTGAGTCTATGGGCAGTGTTGAGTCTATGGGCAGTGTTGAGTCTATGGTGCAGTGTTGAGTCTATGGTGCAGTGTTGAGTCTATGGTGCAGTGTTGAGTCTATGGGCAGTGTTGAGTCTATGGTGAGTCTATGGGCAGTGTTGAGTCTATGGGCAGTGTTGAGTCTATGGTGCAGTGTTGAGTCTATGGGCAGTGTTGAGTCTACGGTGCAGTGTTGAGTCTATGGGCAGTGTTGAGTCTATGGTGCAATGTTGAGTATATGGTGCAGTGTTGAGTCTATGGTGCAGTGTTGAGTCTATGGTGCAGTGTTGAGTCTATGGGCAGTGTTGAGTCTATGGGCAGTGTTGAGTCTACGGTGCAGTGTTGAGTCTACGGTGCAGTGTTGAGTCTACGGTGCAGTGTTGAGTCTTTAGGTGCAGTGTTGAGTCTATGGGCAGTGTTGAGTCTATGGTGCAGTGTTGAGTCTATGGGCAGTGTTGAGTCTACGGTGCAGTGTTGAGTCTACGGTGCAGTGTTGAGTCTATGGGCAGTGTTGAGTCTATGGTGCAGTGTTGAGTCTATGGTGCAGTGTTGAGTCTATGGTGCAGTGTTGAGTCTATGGTGCAGTGTTGAGTCTATGGGCAGTGTTGAGTCTATGGTGAGTCTATGGGCAGTGTTGAGTCTATGGGCAGTGTTGAGTCTATGGTGCAGTGTTGAGTCTATGGGCAGTGTTGAGTCTACGGTGCAGTGTTGAGTCTACGGTGCAGTGTTGAGTCTATGGGCAGTGTTGAGTCTATGGTGCAATGTTGAGTATATGGTGCAGTGTTGAGTCTATGGTGCAGTGTTGAGTCTATGGTGCAGTGTTGAGTCTATGGGCAGTGTTGAGTCTACGGTGCAGTGTTGAGTCTACGGTGCAGTGTTGAGTCTACGGTGCAGTGTTGAGTCTTTAGGTGCAGTGTTGAGTCTATGGGCAGTGTTGAGTCTATGGGGCAATGTTGAGTCTATGGTGCAGTGTTGAGTCTATGTGTGTTGAGTCTGTGTGTGTTGAGTCTGTGTGTGTGTGTAGTGTCTGTGTGTGTTGAGTCTCGAGGGCCCTGCGGTTACCCTGGCCGTTGCGCACCCCCGCCAGGCGGCGGCGGAGTACGTGAAGCGGCGGCTGCCGGACTACTTGCGGCGGCGCCTGGCGGAGGGAGACGGAGCGGACGTGGAGGCGGCGCTGCGTGACGCCGTGCGGCGCACCGAGCTGGAGCTCATGGAGACGCTGGGGCCCGCGGGCAACGAAGCCGGTGAGCAGAGTTCACCGCCAGAGTTCAGAGCTCACCGCCAGAGTTCAGAGCTCACCGCCAGAGTTCAGAGCTCACCGCCAGAGTTCAGAGCTCACCGCCAGAGTTCAGAGCTCACCGCCAGAGTTCAGAGCTCACCGCCAGAGTTCAGAGCTCACCGCCAGAGTTCAGAGTTCACCGCCAGAGTTCACCGCCTGAGTTCACCGCCAGAGTTCACCGCCAGAGTTCAGAGTTCACCGGCTGAGTTCACCGCCTGAGTTCACCGCCTGAGTTCACCGCCAGAGTTCAGAGTTCACTGGCTGAGTTCACCGCCAGAGTTCACCGCCAGAGTTCAGAGTTCACCGCCTGAGTTCACCGCCAGAGTTCACCGCCTGAGTTCACCGCCAGAGTTCAGAGTTCACTGGCTGCTGCTGCAGCGCAGCTGGTGCCCCCTGGTGCCCGTATCTGCCTCCACGTGTCCTCTTGTCTCCTCTTGTCTCCCCTTATCTCCCATATCTCCCCCTGTCTCCCCGTGTCTCCACGTGTTTCCTCATCTCCCGCGTGTCTCCCTGTATCTCCCCTCATCTCCCGCGTGTCTCCCCTCCCTCGTGTCTCTCTGCGTGCAGGCACCACGTGCGTGCTGGCGGTGGAGTCGGCGGGGCGACTCTACGTGGCCAACGTGGGCGACTCTCGCGCCGTGCTGTGCGACGCCCAGGGCTGCGCCGTCGCGCTCTCCCACGACCACAAGCCGCACCAGCTCAAGGAGCGCCAGCGCATCAAGCGCGCCGGTGCGCACGCCGCACTCGGTTTACCGCACGCGGTGTAACACACACGGTGTAACGCACAGTACACCACACAGTATACCACACAGTATACCACACACAGTATATCACACATGGTGTAACTCACACGGTGTAACGCACAGTACAGCACACAGTATACCACACAGTGTACCACACAGTGTACCACACAGTGTACCACACACATCTCTTCCTCTCTCTCCCCCCATGTCTCTCTCCCCCCACGTCTCCCCCACGACTCACCACATCTCTCCCCCCCCCCCCCCCCCCCCCCCAGGCGGCTTCATCAGCTACAACGGCTCGTGGCGCGTGCAGGGCGTCCTCGCCATGTCTCGCTCGCTCGGCGACTTCCCGCTCAAGCGCATGGGCGTCGTGACGGCGGAGCCCGACGTCACGGCCGTGGACCTGCGCGCCGCGAGGCCTCGCTTCCTGCTCATGGCCAGCGACGGGCTGTGGGACGCCTTCGGCAGTCAGGAGGCCGTCGCATTCGTGGGCGAGCGACTCGGGGAGCCGCACCTCGGGGCCAAGAGCGTGGCGCTGCAGGCGTTCTACCGCGGCTGTCCCGACAACATCACCGTGGTGGTGGTGCGCTACCGGACGCCGCGGGCTGGTGCCGCAGCCGGTGCAGCCGGTGGTGGTGCAGCCGGTGCCGCCACCCCAAGACGGGCGGCCAGGACCGCCTGCTGATTGGAGGGCGGCGGTGGACAGTGGTGGACAGTGGTGGACAGTGATGTAGTCTGGGATATTCTGCGCCCGGGGACGTTTAATCACGTGCCAAAATGTACCATTGGAACCTCATTTGCCAGTAAAAAGTATAATTGGTTTTTTACCCTTCTATCTGGCAACAAAACTGACACCTTTTTTACAAGGAGTCATGTTGCATAGACCACAATACCTGCAGTCACAATGCAAACAAAACACACAACTCTGATAATATAGTTGCCAGATAGAAGGGTAAAAAAACAATTATCATATTTTGCTACTGGCAAAGGAGGTTCCAATGGTGTAAATGCTTTACCCCGAGCTCTCATACTCTGATGGTGCATTGTCTTTGAGTTGTGCGCCTTTTGGCGTCATCTGGTCCAACACCATGTGAGACTAGGCTCTAAGGAAAGCTGTCTCAGGTGTGGACCAATAAACTTCAAGGACAGTGCACATACATTATCAGAGTTTTGTTTGCATTGTGACTGCAGGTATTGTGGTCAATGCAAACATGACTCCTCGTAAAAAAGGTGTCAGTTTTGTTGCCAGATAGAAGGGTACAAAAACAATTATCATACCAAGATGTAATCACGTGACATGCAGGCTGTGTGTGGCAGGATATATAAACTTGTAGGTTGAAGCGTAGATTTGTGCAGTCGTTTCAGGCTGCCGCGCCCACCGAAGTAAGTTCTAATGTAACGCTGCAAGCCTCGAGTTTCGATTTAAAGCTTTCGTGACTGCAGGGATTCATCTTCTTGGTTCTTTCGGTAAAGTCATCACGTAGAAGGGAAATAATAAAATAAAACACAATAAAAGAAAGTAATATATATTATAATATAAGATGCAAGCTCTTAAATATTTGAGTTTTATTAATTAAGCTTTCGTGACTGCAAGGATTCATACTGAGTTTTTTCGGTAAAAGTCACGTGGGTAAAAAAAAATGAAATTAAAATTAATAAAAATCTAATATTTAAGAGCTTGCATCTTGGAATCCCTGCCTCACTTGATGCAGCAAATCTGGCCGTGACGGTTCCCACCTGATGCCTCCGAAACGTCGTGATTTTTATTATTTTATTAATTTTAATTTCATTTTTTTTAACCTACGTGACTTTACCGGAAAAACGAAGAGTATGAATCCTCGCAGTCACGAAAGCTTCAAATCTAGAACTTAGAGGTGCGAGTTCATTCCCCGAGCCGCCTATAACTGTAACCCGCGGTGACGTTCACCATCCCCTCCCGTGTCGATCTCGTAATCCGCTGGAGGCCCTACAACTCCCGGTTAAAATCCTACAAATCCAGCGAACGCCGACTCCCTTAGCCCCTCCCGGCATCGATTCTCGGAGTGTGGATTCGGTCACGTGGCTCCGGGTTGAACCCGGAAAGGATTTCGTCGGAAGCCGCGATCTTGCGGGATTGGTCCTACTAACACTGGGGTTGACCCCATAGGACCTGGGTTGGATTCCGAGCGAGGGGTGGACACGACCGCTACGAACTGTTGTGGCCATTTATTCATAATAATGTTAACTTATTAATAGCAAGTGATGATGATGTTGACGATGTTGACGATGTTGACTAAGTGTTCGTTACGATGCGGCCGGCGACTCAGAATCTAATATATACACCCGGCACACCGTGTATGATTATAATAAGCAGAGGTCGCAACCGGGTACCCGATACCCGGCTACCCGTACCCGGCCGGGTACGGGTACGGGTAGGCCATGAGTCACTGGTGAGTAACTGTTTGTCACTCATTTCCCAACGTCTTGTCTCTTCTCACAATTCAAGTTCCTAGAATCAACCCACCCGCAACTGCAACATGGCTTCATCCCAGAGGTCGCAATCGGGTACCCGATATCCGTACGGCCGGGTACGGGTACCCGTTTGCGACCCTGGTGCGGCCGGGTACGGGTAAGGAATCAAAACCCGTTTGCGACCTCTGCCCCCACGTGTGTAGAGGCGACACGGGGGATCTGCGTGCGTCTCTCTCTCTCGTGTGTGAGAGAGATCAACGTCTTTGTCGTGAGTTGCTGCGAGTACTAGACGATCGAATAAAACAATTTTAAACTGCGGCACGCACGCAGCTTGTCAATCTTTCGATTTAAAGCTTTCGTGACTGCAGGGATTCATCTTCTTGGTTCTTTCGGTAAAGTCACGTGGAAGGGAAATAATAAAATAATAAAAATAAACATTATAAAATAATTCTCACGACGTTTCGGCCACAACACAAGCAGCCGTCCTCAGGTGAAGAACAGGTCTGTCGGAAAGACAGCGTCCATTCACATCATCAACATTACCATCATTAACATCATCATCATTAACATCATCATCTACATCTTTTTTTTTCGATTTAAAGCTTTTGTGACTGCAGGGATTCATCTTCTTGGTTCTCTTGGTAAAGTCACATGGAAGGGAGATAATAAAATAATAAAAATAAAACATAATAAAATAATATAATAAAATATTTTTTCATGTTTTATTTTTATTAAAATAATATAATATTTTTATTATGTTTTATTTTTCTTATTTTATTATTTCCCTTCTACGTGACTTTACCGAAAGAACCAAGCAGCTTGTAAATCGTTGAGGGTAACGGGAACCCGCGGCGAAAGCCGACCGCGTGCCCAGCAGGAGCCGCTGTACTCTGTCTCGCCAGAGGAGGGCGCTGCAGCAAAAGTGTGGGACTCCACCCCCCACCTCCATCTGTTCCTTCTGCAATAGACTTTTCGTTTTTTTACTTTTCCTTGATTTCTACCGATGCGTGTAGTCACTTCAAGGCGCGTTTCCTGTCCACGGTTTTGTTTAGATGCGGTCGCACCCGAGCCGAGAGCCGCATGGATGTCTCGCGGGGTTATTACCCGATACATGAAGCTGAAAAACAAAAACACACAACTCTGATAATGTATGCACTGTCCTTGAAGTTGATTGGTCCACACCCGAGACGGCTTTCTTTAGAGCCCAGTCCCCATTGGTGTTGGACCAGATGGCACCAGAAGGCGTACAACTCAAACACAGCGCACTATCAGAGTATTGAGAGCTCGGGGTAAAGCATTTACACTATGAGATCTCTTTTACCAGTGGCAACATATAGTAGTAGGTTTTTACCCTTTTAAACTGGTACAAAAACTGACACCTTTATTCAAGGCATCATGTTTGCATTAACCACAACACAAGTAGTCAAAAAAGCAAACAAAAATAAGCAACTCTGATAATGATAATAATATGCACTGTCCTTGAAGTTGATTGGTCCACACCCACGTTCACTCACACGCTCACTCACACGCTCACATACACGGCTCACTCACGCTCGCTCACACACTCACACTCACTCACACACTCACTCACACGCTCACTCACACACTCACTCACACACTCACAAGCTCGCTCACACGCTCAGACGCTCGCTCACTCTCACTCACTCACACACTCGCTCGCACGCTCACACACTCACACGCTCGCTCACACGCTCGCTCACACTCACATGCTCACACTCACGCACACGCTCACACGCACGCTCACTCACACGCTCGCACGCACGCTCGCTCACGCTCACTCACACGCTCGCACATACACACGCTCGCTCACACACTCGCTCACACACTCACTCACACGCTCACACACTCACTCACACACTCACTCACACACTCGCTCACACGCTCGCTCACACGCTCGCTCACACGCTCGCTCACACGCTCGCTCACACGCTCGCTCACACACTCACTCACACGCTCGCTCACACACTCACTCACACACTCACTCACACGCTCACACTTACTAATACACATGCTCACACGCTCACTCACACGCTCACTCACACGCTTGCTCACTCACTCACGCTCGCACGCTCACACACACTCACACGCACGCTCACACACTCACTTACTCATGCTCACATACACGCTCGCTCACACACGCTCGCTCGCTCACTCACACGCTCACTCACACGCTCGCTCACAGGCTCGCTTGCACGCTCGCTCACAGGCTCGCTTGCACGCTCGCTCACACACGCACACACGCTCACACACTCACACGCTCACACACTCACATGCTCACTCACACGCACATACTCACTCACACGCTCACACACTCACTCGCACGCACGCTCGCTCACACACTCACATGCTCGCTCACACGCTCACTCACTCGCTCACACGCTCGCTCACACGCTCACTCACTCGCTCGCTCACACGCTCACTCACTCACATGCTCGCTCACACGCTCACTCACTCACACACTCACACGCTCGCTCACTCACACGCTCACACACTCGCTCACACACTCACTCACACACTCACTCACATGCTCACACACTCACTCACACACTCACACACTCACTCACACGCTCGCACGCTCACACACTCACTCACACACTCACACACTCACTCACACGCTCGCACGCTCACACACTCACTCACACACTCACTCACACGCTCGCTCACTCACACGCTCACACACTCGCTCACACGCTCACACACACTCACTCACACGCTCACACACTCACTCACACGCTCGCACGCTCACACACTCGCTCACACGCTCACACACTCACACGCTCACACACTCACTCACACACTCACTCACACGCTCGCACGCTCACACTCACGCTCACACACTCACACACTCACTCACACGCTCGCTCACACGCTCACACACTCACTCACTCACACACTCACTCACTCACACGCTCACACACTCACTCACTCACACATTCACACGCTCACTCACTCACACGCTCGCTCACACGCTCACACACTCGCTCACACGCTCACACACTCACTCACACACACTCACACGCTCACTCACACGCTCACTCACACGCTCACACGCTCACACACACATACTCACACGCTCACTCACACGCTCACACACTAACTCACACACTCACACTCACTCACACGCTCGCACACTCACTCACACGCTCACACACTCACACACTCACTCACACGCTCGCTCACACGCTCACACACTCATTCACTCATACACTCACACGCTCACTCACTCACTCACACGCTCGCACGCTCACACGCTCACACACTCACTCACACGCTCACACACTCACTCACTCACACACTTACACGCTCACTCACACGCTCACACACTCACTCACACACACACTCACTCACACGCTCGCACGCTCACACACTCACTCACACGCTCACACACTCACACGCTCACACACTCACACGCTCACTCACACGATCACGCTCACACGCTCGCTCACACGCTCATACACTCACACGCTCACTCACTCACTCGCTCACACGCTCACACACTCACTCACACTCACACGCTCACTCACTCACTCACACGCTCACACGCTCACACACGCTCACACACTCACTCACTCATACTCACACGCTCACTCACTCACACGCTCACACACTCACTCACACTCACACGCTCACTCACTCACTCACACGCTCACACGCTCACACGCTCACACACTCACTCACTCATACTCACACGCTCACTCACTCACACGCTTACACACTCACTCACACGCTCACACACACACACTCACACGCTCACTCACACACTCACACGCTCACACACTCACTCACACGCTCGCACGCTCACACACTCACTCACACGCTCACACGCTCACACACTCACTCACACGCTCACACACACACACACGCTCACTCACACACTCACTCACACACTCACACGCTCACACACTCACTCACACGCTCACACACTCACTCACACACTCACTCACACGCTCGCTCACACGCTCACACACTCAATCACTCACTCATACACTCACACGCTCACTCACACGCTCACTCACTCACTCACACGCTCACACACACTCACACGCTCACACACACGCTCACTCACACGTTCACACTCACACACACGCTCACACGCGCGTGCGGTTTGTTCCCAGTGCTCCGTTTCGTCGCACACCTCTAAGCAACTCGTCAATCCGCTGGCAACACCTTCCTCTGCAAGAGGACCGCAGAGCTTGGGCGAAGATTGGTCGCGCTGGCCGCTGCTGGCGCCGCCGCGGCGGTGGTGGTGGTGCGGTGGCAGAGGGGTGGTGGTGCAGTGGTGGTGGTGCGGTGGTTGTGGTGGTGCGGTGGTGGAGGGGTGGTGGTGGTGTGATGGTGGCGGAGGTGGTGGTGGTAGTGGTGGTGGTGGCGATGGTGGAGGGGTGGTGGTGTGGTGTTGGTGGTGTAGTGGCGATGGTGGTGATGGTGGTGTGGTGGTGTGGCGATGGTGGAGGTGGCGATGGTGGTGGAGGTGTGGTGGTGGTGGAGGTGTGGTGGTGGTGATGGTGGAGGGGTCGTGGAAAGGTGGTGGTGTGGTGACGATGGTGGTGGTACAGTGGTGATGGTGGAGGCGGTGGAGGTGCGGGTGGCGGCGGTAGTCGCGTGCAGCGGAGGCGGTAAACCGAGGGTAACGCCAACAACTTCCCAGAGGCCCCAGCCAGCATGGAAGATCATCTCCCTCTCGTGGAGGCGCTACCCAATACCAGCGACGACGCGGCCTGGCAATTGCAGGGCTGCGCCTTTAACCATTTTCTTATTTTTTTAAAATCATTTCTATTAAGTTCGCTTGCTTGCTTACGACCGTGCAAATCTTTCGGTCGTTTTTTAACCCACTTCCCGTGATCCAATCGAGCTGACATTTTGCACACAGACTCGTTGTGCGAGACAATTAATGTTCGTGAATTTTTTTTTCAAAAATGTTACACTGTTTAGGGAAAACAAATTAAATATTTAATTACCAATTGCTTAATACTGGCAGACAATCATCTGACCTATAGGTGGCAGCCATCTCAAGCCAGAGGACGACAGGACTCTAGCCGCCACGCATATAAAGGATTTATAGTGAAAAACTTTGTTTTTACGGGTTATACTTATTGTGTATCTTGTGTTCTCCACAGGGAATGCATTATTTGCTCCGCTGCGGGTCTCCTACCACCGCTCTCCCATTGACATGTTTCCTTGCTTCTACATACTATTGACATTCCCTCCCTTTGTTAATGCTTCCCCTGCCCCCTCCCTTTGGTGCTGCTAATCCTACATAATGCACGGGCATAATATGACTTTGAAACCTCCCCCCGCGCCCACCTCCTACGCATTTCCCATGAATATGCTGGGTTCCTCTTAGTGTGCACATTCTTTTGTTAAGGCGCTCTTTCTTCTTCCACC